GGCTCGAACCGGCGCCCCCGGCCCGCGCACGAGCTCCGCTGCGGACCCGGGGGGCGGGCGCGCGGGACGCTCACCCGGACACGCGCCGCTCCCGGCTTTTCCAGAACCTCCCGCGGCGGCACCCAGCTCGTTCGGGCCCTCCTCCCTCGGCGGCTCCACCTCCCGCCGTCGCCGGGCTCCGCCCGCTTGACCGGCAGCCACGTCCCCACCTCCCGCCCCGCCCCCCGCTCCCCCGCCCCCGGCCCCTGGCTCCGCGCCCAGACAGCCTCGGCCAGGGGTCACCACCACAGACAGCGACCCGCGGGAAGGCCGAGCCCGCCCGGCCGCGTGGGAGCCGGGAGCGGGCCTGGGGCCGCCGCCCGCGCCCTTCATGCCGCCCGCCGCTCGCCGCACGTACGCGGCGCCCGCCTCTCCTTGGCGCTCGCACCTGTGGGACTCGGCCCGCCCTCCTCCCCGGCCCCCTGGGCGGCTGGAGAGGGGCCCACGACCCGATCCTGAAGCCGGTGCTGTCGGGGGGAGCATCCCTGGATGCTGGCCAGCTACCCTGGCCCCAGCTCATGCCCATTTCCTCGGTGGTCCTGCTGTATACACGGCTCCTACTGCTGCCTCCCCATCATCACCACCATCAGGTTACAGGGGGTGGGGTCACCCGGCCCAGGAGCTGGATTCTCAGGCATGGGGACAATGGAGAAGGACCTTAAGAAGACTGGAGACCTGGCATCCACCCCCAGGGCCAAGCTCCCAAAGGGATTCAGACTGTCCCCAGCTCCTGGATCCGACACTCCTCCTGGGGGTGTGTGGGGGGGGGGGGAGGGGGGCACCCTGGAGCCAACCTTCGTTTTCCCCAAACCCTTACATACAACATGGGCCAAAAACAGTGGACACTTCTTTCAGCCAATCCAGGCTGTGAGGGAGTGAAGGCAGGGATGCTGCAAATCTCAGCCTGGGCTAGAGGAGGCCCTGGCCGCCAAGCAGGTTCCCATGCCTGCTCTGTGAACCTTCCTAGTCATGAATGAGGGGAAACAGTGTCTGAGAATCTCATCAGAGAGCTAGGCCAGAGTGGGAGGTGCTCAGCCTCTGCCCAGTCCAGTGTGGGGATATTCCCTATGGCACACCATCCAGGCTGGCAGCCCAGACCCGGGGAAGGCATGAACACACAGAAAAATACACACAAGACACATAAAACACGGAATGAGCCACTGTTCCGCCCTTCCTCAGCCACCAGCTGACCTCCCCAGAGCTCATCTAAAACCAGACAGAAATCTTCCTGCCTCTGCTACATCCTGTTATGCCTCAGTCTGCTCAGGTTCTCCCATCCTCTCCCCCTTCTCAGGAGCTTGCCCTGTGGATCATCCCTTCTCTCACTTGAATGTTCAACCTCCTCTCCTCAAACGGATACATCCCTTGACCGGTAAATATTTTCAGGTCTCTAGTATGGAAACAAAACCCTCATTAGACCCCACCAACTATTGCAGTGTCTCTCTCCTTCTCAACCACAGCAAAATTCCCCGAAAGAGCAGTCTGTCCTCACTTTGCTCCCACCCCTCAGAACCCTGCAGTGGGCCTTCTGGCCTCCTGACAAGACCAAACCAGATCTCAACAAGCTCTCTATAACCTCCAAGTCTAAATTCAACAGCCACTCTTCAGTCCTCATCTGCCAAAGCCCCCAGCAGCACCTGACACCCCAGCAGTGTTTGGCCACTGTCTCCCTTGAACACTTTTTTCCCTCGGTTGCCACTAACCTCTCTGGCCACCTCTGCCCAGGCATCTTCACCCCCAGCTCACCCGCCTTTCCCTCTCTCCCCATTAGTCGGTAAAGGTTGGGGGTTACTCAGAGTTCAGGCCTAGGCACTCTACTTTCCTCTCCTCTTTCTATAATTTCTTCCTATACACAGATGACACAAATTTCTCTCTCTACCCTTGCCCTGACTCCTGAGCTCCAGATGCGTATGAATGGCTGCTGAGTCTACGTCTCCGCTGAGTGTCCACAGGCACCTCAATCACAACGTGCCCAGCACTGAGTTCATGCTCTCTCCCCTTCCCCCACCCCCATACCTCTCATATTCCCTGCTTCACTGAGGGAGCCACCCGGCCCCCTGCACCACCACCAGTTACCTAACCAGAAGCCTGGGAATCACCCTCAGCACTTCCCTCTGCCCCGTCCCCAAACCCTGTCCTTCCATATCCCACGTCCATTCAATTCTACCACCTAAATCCTTCTCTAGTTCATTCATTTCTCTCCATCCTCTTTCACTTGAATGATTGCAACAGTTTCCCGGCTGACTGTCCCCCTCCATTCTTACTTCCTCCCGTCTCTCTTCCACACGGCAACCACAGTGACCTCCTCAGAATGCAGATCTGAACCCATCACTCTCAGCTTTGTAAATTGCATTGTTCTTAGGAAAAGTCCTGAAAGTGGCCTATAAGGCCCGGCAGTGTTTGATCCCTGCTCACTACTCTAGCCACACTGACCTTCCCCTCCAGTCCCTCTAACTGGCCATTCTCCCTCCCCATTCCACTCCCAGACCTTTTCACATGCTGTTCTTTCTGTCTAGGAAAATGTCCCTCCTTCCCAATTAAATCCTTCAGGTCCTCCCAGAGGGAATTTCCTCACTTCCCTGGCCAGGTCAAAATCTCCTATAACAGCCTCTCATGTCCTACATGCTTCCTAACACTTGCCACAGTTGAATGTTAGTTTGATTCATGTCTGCCCCCTCCCCCACACACACCACTGGCCTGGGAGTACGTAAACAATGTGTGTTTTGTCCATCATGACATCCTCAGCGACTATGACAGAACTGGACTCAATAAATATTTCATGATTATATGAAGGGATGGGTGTCTCCTTAATGCCTTGCTCCACATAACCATAGCCAAAGTTCTGACTAAAGCCTCCACAGGGCCTCAGAGTCCTGGAACCCACTCATTCCTCAGTGCCTGCTTCTATTCCTCTTCTGTCTCTTATAAGGATACTTATTGGACTTAGGACTCACCTGGGTAATCAGGATGATCTCACCTCATGATCCTTAAATTACATCTGCAAGATTCCTCTTTCTAGATAAGGTCACATCCACAGTGTCCAGGTATTAGGACATGGACATATCTTTTCAGGGCCACAATTCAACCTACTACACTTGACATGCCCTCATGCCCTCCAGGGGCTCCTGGGCCCCTTATAAATCCTTGGCTTTTAGTTCTGAATCTCCAGCCCAGGCCCACTCCAGACCCACATAGCATTTTCTTTGAGGCCACTTGATGGGTGAACTCATTATCTCCCCACACTCTACCTCACACTGCCCACACTTCCTTCCACCCCAGCATTTCCCATATCTCAGGAAGCAGAATCAACATCTCCTGGTCATTTCCATTTTCTTCCCCACCACATTCCCCCATTGTAGATCTTACCTAGTAGATCACTCAACTCATTTACTGCTCTCCATTCCTGTAGCCACAGCTCAAATTCAGGACACCACCATCTCTTACCTGGATGGTCCATCCTGGCCCACAGCTTCCACTCAGCTCCTTCCATCCTTATTTCACACCACAAGCAGAGTGATATTTTAACAGTGTGATTCTGATCATGTCATTTCCATACATAGAACCTCTCAAAGGTGTCCCTGCCACAAGGATAGACACAGATCTCACCAAGGCTGCCAATCCCCTTTATACAGCCCTGATGGCCTCTCTTACCATGTGTAGCCTCAAACTTGATGCTCCAGCACCTGAGGCATTTTTCAGTTCCCTGACTTTTGACTGTGTCATTCTTCCTGTCTGGAACACTCCAAAAGGTTTTCCCTTTGGACCAAGCCTGAGCCAGGTCCCTGCATAGACCCCATAGCTCCTCGTGGATGAATTTCATGCAGGCTATCTGACTCTCATGTCTACTTCCTTCACCACTTTGCCTTCCTAGGAATGGGGGCTGCTTCTGTCCTGTTTACCACTATGTCTCCAGCTCTAGCATAAGGCCTGGAAGCCAGGATCTAGAGAGGGAGTGGGGAAGAAAAATACATGAATAAATGAATGAATAAATGAATGAATGAACATCCTCCACTAATGTGGCCTCCATCAGGCCTCACTAAGCACACCCATTTTGGGTCACTTAATAAATCAACAGCCATCTTGAACAGCCATGTCACACTCCTTTCGCCCAAATCTACTGTGTAAATAAAGTCACATCTCCCTTCTGGTAATGGCTCTATCCTATTCATTCATGCATTCATTCCACAAACATTTGCTGACACCAGTTGAGGCCCTGGCTGGGGATTCAGGGACCATGAAGATCAAAGGGGCTCTGTCTAGTGGGGAAAACTGGCAAGTGAACAGAGGCCCACAAAGCAAACTTACCCAGGGAGGGAAACGCCCAGCCATTTCCAACTGGTGACAGAAGGTGCTACCTGCCTAGTCCCAGTCTTAGAGACCCTTCCCAGGCTCAAGATCAGGTATGCACTGCCACCACTGACCCCAGCATGGCCAGGGGCATTGCCAAGTGAAGCCCTAGCCCCACGCTGTCCCTAAGTGACAGCCCTGGACAATGGCTCCTCAAAGCAGGCTAGACTTGTCTGCCCACCACCCTCATCCCAGGAGAAGAACCTGGTATCTCTCCAGAAAAGGATGGCAAAAATATCTGTGCTGGATGGACAGGTAACTGGATGAATGGGAGGGCAGGTGTGGTGCAGGCTTTCTCTCTAAACAGAGGCATCCTCAGCTTGCCCTGCTCCTGCCTTGCCCCACTCACCTGTGATCCCTGCCCTGGAGAAGAGGAAGGGACAGCTTCCACTGCCTGACACTGAGGCCTCCCTGACTGCTGATGGCACTTTCAGGGCCTGGCAACTACCACAGCATGTGGAAGCCTGGCCAGGGTTTATGAGCACCTGGTCCCTCCATGGGATTCCCCAGAGCAGGGCTCCCGGGATTAACGAATGCCGCAGAGGGTATTATACATACACATCTGTATCTTTCAGCACTGTCAGCATAGAACTGTCCACTGGACTTTGGCACCAACCCTCTCCTCCAGGTTCCTCCTTTAGGGACCAAGAAAAGACTGGATGTGTCCCAATTGACCCGCACTTTTGACTCAAGGCCAATGAGAGAGGGTGCAGCTTGAGTGGGGCCACCTAGTGGTGGCCTTACTGCTTCAGAAATAGGGC